GATAACTTCTCAAGGAGCAAAAGAGAAAAAGAAAGGCAGGAGCAGAGAAAGCAAGGTTAAGAGGGAAAGAGGAGAGTGGAGCACTCCGGAAGTGGACGTTATCAGGGGGTTGGTCTTCGTCCAAAATTCCACCTCCTGCTCTTTCAACCTCTGTCCTACACTGAGGTTCAAGTCCAGCTGCAGGTACTGCTCCGTCTGATTGTAGGCCGGCCACAAAAGCAGGCCTTCCTCATTAGGGTCCCTGGGAGTGAGCAGAAACAGGGGTGAGGCTTCCATCCCCAAACACCCGGCCGGGTTGGCTGCAGGGGAGGTCTGGACAAGGTGAGCTCAAGCAACCTTGCCAATAGCAGCCATGCTGCGCGCTTGGTTGGCCCCCTGGGTACCACTGTGCATCTGTGGCCCAGCTTCCATCAAACCTTCGCTGGCCTTTATCCTCCTGTCCATCCTTTAAGACTCAATTTGAGCTCCAACCCATCCATGGAGCATAGCCATCTCTTTGACAATGAATTGCTTTGTATTTTGACACAATCAAGTAACAAATTAGGTTTTCCTCTCTCTGCTCCTTTCTCCCTTCCCAGGGAACAAAACGAGGTGCACTCTTAACACAAGCTCTTAGCACAACGCAGGGCTCTGACCCCATAGGCCTGTCTCAGCTGTGTGAAGGGAGGTTCATCTTGTATATGCGTTCTCTGGGGCAGCGCCCACCTCCCACCATCTCCCCACCTCTGCCCAGGGAAAAACCTTGACTTGCAACCAGGGCCTGAGCTGGGAGGGCGAATTGGGCTTTGAGATCCGACAGAAAAGTCCAGAGTCCAAGGCACCCTTGAGGGAAGCAGAAGGAACAGGGGGCCCTTGGGGAAGGGACTCTTTTGTGCCCATCTGAGGCGAGCTCCTGGGGACTTGACGGGCATATACAAACAATAGGAAAGAAAAAAACTGCTGGCCCCAACCTGTGCTCTGCCTGTGGGTTGAGTCATTTCAGTTAGACTTTTCCGGCAACGACTCGTACTTCTCCCCTTTCCAAACGTTACAAGGAAAAGGGACAAGGATAAATGGTATTGGTTTGTGATTTAACTGTTTTCCCTGGTTTTCTTTTCCTACCAAGTTCTACAGTATCCCATCACAAGCACCCCAAGGAGACTCCGAGTAGAGAGAAGCATGTTTCCCCTTTCATGCTGCTGCCCTCTGCTGGACATTCATAAATTCACAGGGGAAGACACTGGGTTTGCTTTTGGAGTTGCGTTTGATTTGATTGGGGGAGACAAAGGATTTTCTGTAAATAAATAAATATTTAATTTACAACAAGGAAGTAAATATTTTATGCTTTTACAGTGATGGAAAAGCA